GAGCAGGAAAGCTGACGTTTCGGGCCTAGACCCTCCTTCAGACCCTTTTTCTGAAGAAGGATCTCGACCCGAAACGTCAGCTTTCCTGCTCCTCTGATGCTGCTTGGCCTGCTTTGTTCATCCAGCTCTACACCTTGTTATCTCAGATTGTCCAGCATCTGCAGTTCCTACTATCTCTGGAACATCCTGATAAACCTCTTTTGCATCCTCTCCAAGGTCTCCACATCCTTCCTATAGTGTGGTGGCCAGAACTGCACACAGTAGTCCAAGTGCAGCAGTGAAATGAAAAAGAGTTAATATTTCTTCTGCACTGCAGACCTGTACAAGTTCTATTTTACTTGAAGCAGGTAGCCAATCTATAAATGTCAGTATTGTTACTAACAATAAAAGTGTAATTGATTCTATTTGGATTGATCTTGGTTGGGACTCTAACTATACTATATGCTGCATTTTCTGTTTTATTCTGATGACCAAATTAAGTATTAATTAAATGGATGCAGTTGAGGTTCTCAAAGCAAAGTTCCCCTCTTCAAATTTCTTGAGCCATCCTTTCTGTATGAGTTTGACTATTCTATGCACATAAATAGATGTGTACAGCTTGCCTTATTGCTTTTCCATGGAATATTTTATGGCTGCTGTGTATACTATCTAAAAGATGCATTCCAGCAGTACAGCAATGCTGTTGAAGACCACAGCATCTCCCAAATCCACAGACTTCTCCATTTTAAAGGACCAGGGCAGTAAATACATGAGTAAACCACCACTTGCAAGTTCTCCTCCATACACACCAACCTAACTTGGAACTATGTTACTGATTGAATTAGCTTTTCTAGCTGAAAATCCTGGAATTCTTTCCTTAACAGCACTAAGCGTATCCGTATAACAGACTGCAGGACTTCAACAAGGTGGCTCACCACTGTTTTCTTGAGGACAATTGAGGATGGGCAATAAATGATACTCCTATCCTGTTAGTGAATAAAACAAATGTTCTCCACAATGATCCTCGCTGGCATAATATTTTAAGTGATTAACAACTCCACCAAGGTGGGAGTCAGAGGAGTTCCTGACAAATGACGTTGTACATGAGTACAGTTGGTGTTAATGTTCCTGAATGAGAACATAGAAATAAAAGCAAATTACTGCACATACTGTAGATCTGAAATAAAAACAGAGTGCTGGTGAAATTCAGGTTTGGCGGCATCCGTAAGGAGAGAAAAGTTAATGTTTCGAGTTTTTATGCTGTTGGTAAAAGGGACAGAGCAGCAAGTGGAACAGCTGATTAAAGTGCTTAGAGCAAAACAGAAAGGGAGCACTGACAGAGAGTGGGAAAGACACAAAATAGATGTTAATGATAGGCATAGAACTGAGGAAGGGTCACCGGACCCGAAACATTAACTCTGTTTTTTCCTTCACAGACCTGCTGGGCTTTTCCAGCAACTTTGTTTTTGTTCCTAATTTACAGCATCTGCAGTTCTTTCGGTTTTCATATAAACTAGATCCTGGAGGGGAAGGGGGTGCCATCAAAATGAAGGGTGGTATACATGCTCTGAAGTTATTGAATTCAGTGTTGAGGGTCGGCACAGTGGCTCAATAGTTAGCACTGCTGCCTCATGGCACCAGGCACCTAGGTTCAATTCCAGCCTCAGGTGACTGCCCGTGTGGAGTTTGCACATTCTCCTGTTGCCTGTGTGCAAGTTAGGTGGATTAGCGATGCTAAATTGCCTATAGTGTCCAGCGATCTGCAAACTAGGTGGAATAGCCATAGTACATGTGGGATTACAGGGATAGGTTGGTCTGGATGTGGTGCTCTTTGGAGGGTCGGTGTAGATTCGATGGGCTGAATGACCTCTTTCCACACTGTAGGGCTTCTGTGATGCTATGAAGGCCATAATAGGAAGAAAAAGGTGCCATTCTTCCAGCTTGCATTGGGCTTTGCAGTGCACAGCATCAAACCTAGGACAGAAATGTTAGCAAAACCAAAGAATAGGAAAAAAACTGGTTGAATTCCTGATGCTGTTTAATTCCATTGCTGACTTTGCTCAGCACACCAAGATTTGGCCTGAATTAGTACATCTGTATGCATCGCAGGGGCAGCTGATTAACCTAAATTCAAGTCTAATTGTTCAAGTAACATAACACGAGCAGATATTTCAACAATCATTATAGTCAAAGCCCAAAAACATTTCCAATTCATAAGCCAACTCGAAGCATTTACTTTGTGCTGAGAAGTGACTGCTTGAGTAAGAATGGGTATTCTAAGTTCCAGTGATTGAATTACAGGAAATTTGTGGAAATCAGTACTAAAAGTATAGTTTTCCCTGTATTTTATTTTCTAATATTTAAATACATTTTCTGTCACAACAAGAAGTGAAGTAGCAACCTGCTGATTATCTGCAGTTGAGCTTGTGATGAGGATTCTTCTCTGTCCTGCCAGATGATTCCACTTGCAGCAGTTAGCAATACCGTTGCGCATCCAATTTCTTTTATCTGAAAGCACACAATACACAGTGTTGTATCTTTATAAAATATATTTTTATTGATGATCTCTCAGCATCCGGGAAGCTTACAAAATGCACAACTTGGATCAAGGTGTACAATTAATTTGAAAATATTGAGACACAATAAATAATCTGCAAGGCGTACTCCTCTCTGACAATGGTGCCAGCAGCCCCTCTGATAAAAATGATTCTATAAAACAGCAGGGTGTAAATGATTCTCAATGCATTGAATTTCATCTTATCTACTAATACAGTGTAGGTCCTTCAACATACTGGCTTAAAAAGCTCTCTTCGATAAACTTTGAGAATTCCGCTCCAAATAAACGTGGGGACAGAGAGGGTTCAGAGGGTTGGTACACATTCAATGGGCCGAATGGCCTCTTTCCACACTGGGAGCTCTATGATTCTAAACTTTTAACACTATGATCACCCCACTTAATGTTGGAGAAGCTGAAATTTCCTACTACCACTATCATATTTTCTGAAATTTGCCTACTTATCTGCACCTGTATTTCTCTCCTGTTAGGAGGCCTATTGTATACTCCCAGTGATGTGTTTGTTCCTTTTTTGGATTTTAATTTCTACCTATGTTGCTTCATTTGAGGAACCATCTCAGATGTCATCCTTCCTTACTGCTGTAATTGATCCTTTGGTCAATATTTGACACCCTGTCTTCTTTTGCCTCCTCCTCTGTCTTGCCCCTTGTGACCTAGGCTAGCTTTCAATTCCCGGTTTTGTTTATTTAATGTCAATTCCACCAACTGCTATGGTGGGATATGAACCCATGACTCCAAAGTATTGGTCTGGGCCTTTGGATTACAAGTCCAAAGACATAATCACTACACCACCATCTCAACCTCTAAACTGTTCACAAGGACAAATTTGATTCAGAAGCTCCGTGCTTGAATGAGAAGAACAGGTTTGGTCTTGCCTCAGTTTCCACTGTGCATGAATCTAACACAAAGTGGTTGATAAATTGGCACTAGATTAGTGCTGTCATACAGCATGCCTACTGAAATCTCATTGTTTCTTTTAAAAATAAAGGAGAGAATAAATAGAGTTAAAAGACTGGACAGTAAAATTTTGATTGGATCTATTCTAAATGCTCATTTTTCTCCCTCGCAGGTTTGATCCCAAGCGTGCTGTACAGCAACTTCGGGCCTGTGGTGTGTTAGAGACTATTCGTATCAGTGCTGCGGGTTACCCATCAAGGTAGGTGCATGGATCATGCTACTTTTACAGAGTTCATCCAAAGCAATTTCTGCATAGAAATGGATGGAGTTTTATCATTGCTATAAAGTACACGCTGGATATAAACAAAAGTATTTCACGAACAAGTTACTATGGGCTGAACATTGCAAAGAATGGCAATTGATATCAGAGTGACAAAAGTGTTGTGGTGTAGAAGGTGGGCCATTCAGTCCCATTGTGCCTGCACCAACTCTTCAAAGGGACATCATTACCGACTGCCAATCTCTCTCATTTTCCTCGTATCCTTGCTGCCTGTACCACATGTCCAGGCAGTGCATTCCATACCCTTAACTATGTGCTGAGTAATAAAGATTTTTCTTACATCACCTTTGCTTCTTTTGCACGTTACTTTAAATCTATGCCATCTTCATGTTATTTGCTATTTATTCTGTTATTTATTGCTATTTATTCTGTCCTGCTACTCATGATTTTGAAAACCTCTATCAAATCTCCTCTCAGCTTGCTTCTCTCCAAGAACAGTCCCAGCTTCTTCAGTCTATTGCCACTTTGCTCCATCATTTTTTCCATTAGTCCTCTGCAACACCTTTCTAGCTGGGAATTCCATTCCTGGCTCCTTCAGAAATGCAGACCATATCTGAAATTAATACAAATCTCTCATCATGCATGGTAGTCAGGGAAAGTCAAATCCAGGTACCTTCTTGCCACAATCAGTGTGCTGTGTTCTGACATTTAAATGTCTGGCAGCATAGCCAGACACTTTTTCACAGTAGCTGTCAAAAAGTAAGTGTGAGGTTACCTTGTGAGTTTAAGCATGTGATAGAGTGCTTAGGGTAGTTCAAGAAGTGGGAATGTTGTGGCTGGTAGCAGTCAAAGGTATTTGTCTGGACTGGTGTTGGGAATTTGGAGGGGGCATGGGGGGAATGTTCAGTAAGATTGGTGAGGTGGGATGGAGGAGGGGTTGCCAGAGGTTGGGAGAGGTGTACTTGATAGGTTGAGGAGTGGTAAGTTGGAGGGGGTCAGCTTAATAGTTTCCCAGGAGTTGGATTTCATTTCTAATCGTCTCTCTTTTTTTTCCTAAATAATTACAAATTCAACTGAAGTGAACCTTGCCAATTTTTTGCTTTTAATAGACTCTTTCAGAGGGCTCCAGACAGAGCAAAATTGCCCATCGGAATCTTCAATGTCCCAAACAATTTGCATAGGGTTTGCTGTGTCAAAGCTCAACTCCAGTCTGAGCTGCCCAAGTGACTATCTGGCCATCGGAACATCTAGACCTTTATTTCAAATTTGAAGAGTATCTGTGTCATCTCGGTGTGTTCCTAAGGTACCCACTACTGGGATGGACATGATGAAGAACTTCTGAGTTCCAGCAGTTCATGTCATTTCTTGTGCCAGTTCTCCTGTTGGCCTCTGGGAAAATCCATGAGCATAAAATAAAGAAGCTAACTACTGATGAGCTTTCTGCAAAAGTGCAAACTGGAGTAGATGCAACGTCTGCAGCAGTAATGTGACACCAGTGTAAAACAGATTGAACTCAGAAACTAAGTTGAATGCCAACTGAGAAAAGAACAGTGATGTTATATAAATTAATTCTTTCCTCCTCACCTTCCTCTTCTCATCTGTAGTGAGATACGAGGCATACAAAGCACATGATTTGGCTGTTTCCATTGCTATATTTGCCTAGATCAGGCCACGAGCTTGTCACTGAGGGCAAGGCGTAACGTACCACATCAAATATTGGGGTCTTTCACTGTTCTTTCTATGGCGATCATGTCCTGGAGTGGAACTTGAATGTTGAACTTCTGTCTCTGAGACCCACTGCAATCTCTACCTGCCTTGTAATTATTTCTTTCCAGCATCGCATCCATTGGTTACTCCATTAAAAATTAAATAATAATATATTTTGAATCTGTTTATATTGACTACTTTGCTAAAACTTGGCTCATAATTCTATTTCTCATGAGTGAAAAGGTCCCATCTGATTTGTCTTTTTATTTATCCTAATTTCTTTAGGTTTTCTCTTTATACAAATAATTGAACCTACCCCTGTACTGAACAATTTGTTTGGATCAATAACATGGTCTATGAACAAAACTGAGTATAAAATGAAATTGATTTTGTTTCCTAAAAATATCCACTTAGTGTTCTTCTGACTATCTACATCTAATGTATTTCCTCCATAACTTGCTGGACAAGTGACCTCACGAGCCAACAAAAAATTATGCAGCTGAGTTGTCACAGTGCCAAATATATTTTTTGATAGGTGGACGTACCATGAATTCTTCGACCGATATAGAGTCCTAATGACCAAGAAGAATATATTAAACGATAAGAAAGAGACTTGTAAGAAACTTCTTGAAATCGTTATCAAGGTAAGAATTTCGTGGAGGCAGTGGCATTGTAGTGATGTCACTGGACTATTAATCTGGACGCTCAACCTGTTCATGACCATGTGTTCATGTGTTCAAATCCTGCCATGCAATATTGTGAAATTTGAATTCTATAAAAACAAAGTTAAGAGCTAGTGAATTTTTTATATTTTAAAATCCCATCTGGTTCACTAATGTCCTTTTAGGGAATGAAACTGCCATCCTTATCTTGTCTGGCCAACATGTAATTCCAGACCCACAGCAATGTGGTTGACTCTCAACTGCCTCTGGGCAGTTAGGGATGGGCAATGCTGATTTAGCCAGTGATGCCCACACTCCGTTTAGAATGAAAAAAACTTTGTGCCAGTAGAGAGTTACGTCCTTATTAATGGAGTCTGTCTCTGTCTCTGCCTCTCTCTGTCAGAAAATAACTTCTTGCCAATTTTGCCTGCAGAAACATCATAGGCATGTTCCAATATATGTATATGCTGTTCTTGTACTGATAGTAAATACTGATACATTTTGGAAGCAGTAACCAGACAAGGGAGTACTAAATGAAATGGCAGGACACTAGGAAGCTCAGAAGCAGAGGGATCTTGAAGCGCTTGTCCACAGATCCCTGAAGCCAGCAGGGCTGGTTAATAGGGTAGTTAAGAAGGCATACAGAATACTTGCCTTTATCAGTGGTGGCATAGATTATAAAAGCAGGGAGATTATGTTGGAGCTGTACAGGACTTTTGGTTAGACCATAACTGTGCTGTGTGCAGTTCTGGCCACCGCACTATAGGAATGATGTGATTGCACTGGAGGGGGTGCAGAGGAGATTCACCAAGATGTTGCCTGGGATGGAGTGATTTAGCTATGGATAGGTTCAGGTTATTTCTTTAGAGAGAGAATGTTGAGCTTGGACATGATTGAGGTGAGTAAGATTGAGGAGTATGGACAAGCTGGATAGGAAGCACCTGTTCTGTTAAGTTGAAGAGTTGATAATACGGGACCATAATGTTGAGGTGAAAGGCAGGAGCTTTAGAGCTGATTTGAGGGAAAAGAAATTTCATCCAAAGGGTGACAGCAATCTGGGATTCTGTGTGTGTGTTGATGTATATGTGTGGATGTGTTGGTAGTTGAGGCACAAAACCTCAACCTTTAAAAAGTACTTAGACGAGCACTTGAAATGTCACAACATTCAAGGCTGTGGCCAAGTGCTGGAAAGTGAGATTCATGTAAAATTAGATTAGATTTTTGGCACAGTCTTGATGGGCTGAACAGCCTCTTCTCTACTGTATGATTCCACAAATTGTATCATTCAATCACTCAGTAAACAGCTTTTTCTGTGATATTTTTCAGGATCCTGATAAATTCCAGTTTGGCCGATCCAAAATCTTCTTCCGTGCTGGTCAGGTGGCATATTTGGAGAAACTGCGAGCAGATAAGTTCCGAGCTGCATGTATGATGATACAGAAGACTGTTCGCGGTTGGTTACAGAGAATTAAGTATAGACGGATGAAGAAGGCCGCCATCACTATTCAGAAACATGTTCGGGGCTATCAAGCTCGCAGGTAGGCTCTATTCTTAGGACTTTAGTGAGTTATTAGCGACTGAAGGGACATACCAACTCAGACAGCTAACATGTTCTGACTGTCCAGTCTCCTCTGCTACCCTAATATCGAACTTACTATGAAGTAGGTGCCATTTAACACCTCCACAAGCCCCACAGACGACATATGGAAACAACATTAGTCTATGGAAAGAACTTACCAATTATTTGAGTTGTTTAATGTTATTATGTAGTTTCTGGATCAATACAGGAAGTTTCAACTAACATCAAAGATAATCATGCTTGCTGAAGATGGGTCAAAATCTTGATTGAGGGATGCGAGGGCTGTCAGGTAGGAGATATTGAGTAGAATAGGTCTCAATTTTCTGGAGTTAAGAAGAATTAGGTCTTATTGAAAAATATAAAATTGTGAAAGGACTTGATCAGGCTGCTTGCCTTTGCCAGAGAGTTGAGAACTATGGGTCATTTGGGACTGAGCTGAGGAGAAATTTCTTCAGTTACAAAGTTATGAATCTTTGAAATTATCTTAGAGGGCTGTGAATATTCAGAGTACGTTCAAGATGGAGATTGACAGATTGCTGGAGACTAAAGGAATGAAGGGAATAGACCAGGATTTAATTCAGTCGCAATCTTATTAAATGGCAGAGCAGGTTCAATGGGCCTTCTGGTACTTTGACTCTGATTTCTTATGTTCTGAAAATCTCATCAACAGCTTCAAAGAAAGCCCTACAATGGGGAACCTGTGACTTAAAAGCAATTAATTAATATAAGGTTTTGTAGCTTAAGTTGTAGTTATGTCAAAAATTCTTTCACTTGTGTTGGCTGGGGGCAAAAGCATGTGCCTGAAGAGGGGTGTCATAGTCATAAAGGTGTACAGCATGAAAACAGTCCCTTTGGTCCAACTTGTCTGGAATAAAATTGGTGGTGCATTTCTTGGATCTGGTTAGAATCATATAATTGTGGAACTTTATAGTACAGAAGGAGGCTATTCAACTCATCATGACTGCTCCAGCTCCCAAAACAGCTACCCAGTTTGTCCCATTCTCTAGCCTTATCTCCATAGCCCTCTAATTTCTTTACTTTCAAATATATGTCTAGCTGTCTCTTGAAACCTCCTATGGAATCTGCCTCCACCACTCTCCCAGGTAGCCCATTCCAAATTCTAACAACTGAGTTTCTCCTCATTTCACTCCTAGCTTTCTTGCTGACAATCTTCAAGTTGTTACCCCTAGTTACTGACATACCAACTCGTGGGAATAGAATATCCTTCTTTACATTGTCAGTATTGTTCACATTTTGAACACCTTGATAAGTTCATCACTTAGTCTTCTCTGCTCCAAGGAGAGTAAACCAAATTTCTCTAATCTTTCCTTGTGTCCAATATCCCTCTTTCCTGGTATCATTCTGTTAAATCTCCTTTGTACTCTTTCCAGGGCTTTATTTTTAATTCACTCACACGATGTGGCATCTCTGGCTAGGCCAGCATTCATTTTAACATCTTCTTTTAAGGTGCCCAAAACTGAACACAGTATTCCAAACAAAAAAAAAAGTTGCTGGAAAAGCTCAGCAGGTCTGGCAGCATCTATGAAGGAGAAAACAGAGTTAATGTTTGGGGTCCGGTGACCCTTCTAAGGGTCACTGGACCTGAAACGTTAACTCTGTTTTCTCCTTCACAGATGCTGCCAGACCCGCTGAGCTTTTCCAGCAACTTTTTTTTTGTTCCTGATTTGCAGCATCCTCAGTTCTTTTGCTTTTTATACAGTACTCCAAATGTGGTCTGACTAATGATTTGTCGAGGTGTAGCATCACTTCCTTGCTTTTATACTCTACGCCTCTTAATAAACACAATGATCCTATAAGCTGTCCGACCAACGTTTCAACTTCTATGGCCACCTTCAGGGAATGACATATGTGAGCCCTGAGGTCCCACTGCTCCTGTACTCCTGTAGTTCCAGCAATGGTCACTAATTGAATTTGCCACTCCTGGTACTATAGAGCTGCTAACTATTTGGATGGCAGCTGTCGAAGACTACTACTTCTGCAGGCATGGACAGAAGTCTCAAGAGGCCAAGCTCAGCAGCTGTCCATTTCATTGGTGGGCTTTGGACTGACGTGGTATCCCTGTCCTCAAGCATAAAACGTGGTTTCCAAAAGCTCAATACAAAAGCGTATTTCCCTGCAGCTATTCTCCTCCTCACCAGAAGAGGCTGCACAGCAAGGTGTAAATCGCCAAGTGTCAACCACGGATGCCTCCCATCCAGGCCTGGTGACTTCTCTGCCTGGAGTGCTGCCAGCCATTTTAGCAGCTCGGAAGAAGGGTCACTGAACCCGAAACATTAACTCTGCTTTCTCTCCATAGATGCTGCCAGACTTGCTGAGCTTTTTCCAGCAATTTCTGCTTTCTTTCTGATTTCCAGCATCTGCAGTTCATCGGGTTTTTGTTTTGCTATTTTAGCACCTCTTCTTTCTCTGCCACTATACTGCTCAGTTGCTCAGCAGCCCCCTGTTGCTGCACCACATACTTGTTTGATATCCTTGGGTGTAGGCATTAAAGGCTTGTACGTTGTCTGATTGTAGTAACGTCTCAGCTGAGTTTAGTCTTATTAAACCACTTGCATCCTAACCACTTTGAAGGGAGATAAAATAAGTTTCACGGTATTATGGTGAGCGATAGTGTCCCTATCTTTGGGCCACAAGGTCCAGACAACTGCCCTGGATGTGCATCATACGTGTTCAAGCAGATTTTGCCTTATGTAAAAGAGCATTCTCTCACCTGCTGTCCTGAAGGTTCTCGCTATGTTGGAAGTAGAATTCCAGTTGTCAAGAACCTTCTAGAATGTTTCCTTCTTTGTTTTCCTCAACAACAAATATGACCACCTACTCTATCGCATGAAGCATCACAATTGCAGATGCCAGCCCCCTGCACCACCTCTTCCCCCGCCCCAACCCCACACCACCAAGGTCCAATCATCTGACCCAGTGTCCTCTTTCCCCCACATCCTTTTCTTTTGCATTATCCATTATATCCCAGCATTAAAGTCTCCTTAATTTCTTCCTCTCAAAACTCTTGAGCCTACCTTGATTTAAGATTTTGATCTTTTTTTAAATTTTAAAATTGTATTTTAAGACATGTTGCATTACTTGCATCTATTTTTATCAGATAGCCTGCCTCCATGCATTCTTGTTAATGCTCTGTTCATTTTGGTCATTCAAAGATTGGTGGATTTGTTGCGAAAAACAAGAGCTGCAGTCATTTTTCAGAAGCAGTATAGGATGCTTGTTGTGCGACGAAAGTATCTGCATATCCGCAATGCAGCCATCACAATTCAGGCTTACACTCGTGGAAGGTTTGTCAGGCAGGTGTACCATGAGGTAAGTGTTTCATGTTTCTGTGTTGAAGTTTACACACAAAGCTAGGTTCTAATTTTCAATCTTTAAAACAAAAGGCCCGTTAGCTCCATGAGGCACATTTTGTCTGATTCTGGGCCCAATGATAACCTCAATGTTTTTCAGGATTTCTGGTCCCACCTGTGAAGTGAGCACAAGTCCAAAATTGGACCTTGATCATTACTTACTAAATTGGGTATTGCAGCCTCCACAGGCAGCTCACCATTGCACAAGATGAATTTCTTGACCAAAATTGACACACAGCAGGGGAGTGGAAGCATGTTGATTGTATCCTGGCGCAACCACCAGTGATGCTGTGGAGCTCAGAAGGACACTCCTTGTTCTACCTTCTTGAATTTTGAAAATGTCCAAACTTACCTTTTTGGTGGCAGCTCCTTGCTAGGCAGCTTTCACACCTATAGAAGCCGAGCAGGGCAACCCAGCTTCTTGAAGGAGGGGATTTATGCAAATATTACATCTCCTCATTAGCATGTCTGAAAACCCCAGTGTTGATTTAGGTATCCATCAAAATATGCAGGTATCCATCAAAATATGCAGGAATCCAATAAGTACAATGTACTGTTGCAGGTTTTCCAGCATCCTTGCAGTAGAGGTCATAGCCCTTTGAAATTGGTCATTTATGATCATGATGTCTGTGAAGAAAAACATGTGTTTTCTGAGGAAGTAGCAGAATAATGACCAATTAACAATGATTATGTGCTGAAGGATTACTTGGTATTATAGTAGATGTTTTCTCATGATTCACACTTACAGTTAGTAATTCCTTGTAAAGTATTGATTTGGTCAACATTTTTTCATTATAACATTGCAAATGCAATAGGCAATATATATCCTTTTAGTATTATGATATTCATGATTAGGTCACTTACTTCATGTTTGTCCTCAAATTTTCAACTCTCTAGTCAGTTTTATTACAGTGAAATAAATATTTTATTTTTGGTAGGAATGCATTTGGTTATTATCGAATGCGCTGGCTAAGATATTAATACTTTGGAAATTGGTGCAAAGGACATGTAATGCTGCCATTGTTACTCGAGGCTTTGAGTCAGGACAGGTAGAATGGAAAAAAAATAGATTCTAAACCACCATAAGGGACAATGTGTGCGCACAACTCACTAAATCTGTCTTTGGGGAATAATGTGGAATAAACAGATCAGCTCAAAAATCACCCTTTTTCTTCCTACACTTACTATGTGCCACTCCTAGACCACAGATTTCCCAAAAGTAAAATATAATCCATTTTATTATTAATTAGGAGACAGTGCTAAATGCACAGATAAACAAATCAAAAACAGGTGAATAAATATTACAATAACTATCTGTGACTCCCTGTCACATTCTGTGGCAGGTTCTGAAAGGCCATAACTCTCCAGTTTCTGCATTAATTTTTGAGAATATCTGATTCTGTCACTGCTTTTTGATGCAATGTCTCACATTTCAAAATATATAATTATGACTTTAGGTACAAAAACAGAAGTTTCTGGAAAAGCTCAGCAGATCTTTAGTTCTTCAGTCTTCAGGACCCTTCAGTTCTGAGGAAGGGTCACTGGACCCGAAACGTTAACTCTGATTTTTTTTTTCCTTCACAGATGCTGCCAGACCTGCTAAGCTTTTCCAGCAACTTTTGTTCTTGTTCCTGATTTACACCATCCACGGCTCTCTTGGTTTTTATGACTTTAGGTAGCCTGGTTGAATTTTGTTGGTATGAAGTCAAAAGGGCTGTTTTTAGGCCTGTGACCCTATCAGTGAATGCATCCTAAGTAGAAGTCCAGGTTGAGTTCATTATCAGCAATGTGAGATATTTACAAATTATTGGATAATGTGGATTTAAACTTTATCTCTGATTTTTGAGGCTTCTAGTTGCATGCATTAGATGTCAAAAAAATTGAGCTTCCACCATATAGATTTTATATTTTTTAACAAATAATAATAGAAAATGTATTCTTGTAACTTATATTTAATTGTTCTGTCTATTTTTATGGAAAACTCAACCTAGTTTACTGCCTCAGGCCTATATTATTGAAATTCCATTTTTGATTAAAACGTTTTTTTTAAGTCACTTGGAAGGCGTATATTCATGGTTTTTTGAGTAATATCTAATATGTATTGAATTTATTTTTGGGTGCATATAATCAGACTGCAGAGGAGGTGAATCATTGTAAGCAAAATGCCAAAATGTATCCCATTTCAGTGCAAAACGTTAGTGGAGTGGTTAAATTTTAATTGGAAGCAAGTCACAACAGTAGATGTGATCTGTAGTACAGCAGACTCATTCCATAATTGATTCTGTGAGAATGGAATAGTGACAAAAATCATTAAAGTTGTTTTTACTGAGATCTGGACTGACAGTTTTAAACCTTGAGAAGGATATTGGAACTGTTTTCTCTAATGGTTTCATTTTAATGGTACTCCTTTGCTTCTGCTGTAAGTAAGTACTATATGTTAAGTCTGTGCGATTCCATTATCTAAGAAATTTCTTTACAACCATGTAGGACTGACTCCATTTTATTTTCTATTTTTACTTCTGATTTCAAGTCTGCCAAATAAAATTAGTCACCTGCTTTAATCTGGCTTTGTTTTTTTTAAGCCAAAACATTTCCCTCATTGCCGTTCTCTGTTTTTGTTGTCTTGGTTTCTTTTCACTGAAAGCGGTAAAGTTGCTGGGACTTAGTTCCCTGGAGAGTGATGAGCCTTGCCCACTAACACGTGTGATCCCAAACAATGATTGCTGGCAAAATCAATAGCCACTGTTTATCATGGTCACTAGACAACAATTAGGTGGATTTTCTGTCTCTCGTTGAACGGCACTAAGTGTTTAAATTGGATGTAAAGTTACTGTAGCACAGATTAGCAGGAACCAGGAATCAAAACTTGGGTCAACTTGGTTTGTATCACTCAAATCATTGGTGCCATAGTATTGTGATATTGACCAGTGAAGCTAAATTTTCACTGCAATGTTGAATTATTGGGAAGCATGCTGCTGAATGATGATATCAGTTTCCCTAGCGATTTCAAAGTTTATTTTGCATTTTTCTCTTGATGCTCTAAATTCAGAAAAAGTTTTGTTTTTCTGCAGCAGAATCTCTTCAGTATTAACTTGTTGGCAATAAGTAAAATATACACATCCATTATGAATTCTATTGGGAATATCCAACTAATTTCACATGGACAACTTTACTGTTTCTCCTGCAATATTTGGAAATCAGTTCATTGAATGTGAAGGGCTTTGGTACATCTTGAAATCTAGGAATTCTTTGTAAGAGATGTGCAATCCATAAGAAAAGACTAATATCTTTAATCTAGGTAGTATATGAACCCTGATCAAAAGCTAAAAAGACCTTGTCGCATCTATTGTACCTTGTCTACTTATTGGGAATTATAGAATGGGACCTCACTGCTTTAGGAAGTATAGGCAAGAATCCAAAAGCTGTCCTTTTATGGTGTTGGAGCTGTACCTTGCTGCATTCGACTGCATAGTCGATCAAGTTGTTTCAGATTTTATGACTTTGACAAAAAACGAAAGAACTGTGGATGCTGTAAATCAGGAACAAAAACAGAAGTTGCTGGAAAAGCTCAGCAGGTCTGGCAACATCTGTGAAGAAAAAAATCAGTGTTAACATTTCGGCTCCGGTGACCCATCCTCGGAACTGTGGGAGGGTCACCGGACCCGAAACGTTACCTCTGATTTTTTTTTTCTTCACACATGCTGCCAGACCTGCTGAGCTTTTCCAGCAACTTCTGTTTTTGCTGTTAGAACATAGAACAGTACAGGCCCTTCGGCCCACGATGTTGTGCCGAACTTTTACCCTAAACCTAAGGTCTATCTAACCTCCACCCCTACCTTATACTATCATCCATATGCCTATCTAATAGCCACTTAAATGCCCCTAATGAGGCTGACTCCACTACCCTCTCCAGCAATGCATTCCACGCCCCTACCACTCTGAGTAAAGAACCTACCTCTGACATCTCCCCGATTATCTACCTCCTTTCACTTTAAAACTATGTCCCCTTGTAAAAGCTACCTCCACCCTAGGAAAAAGTCTCTGGCTGTCTACTCTATCTATACCTCTGATCATTTTGTACACCTCTATCAAGTCACCTCTCATCCTTCGTTGTTCTAAAGAGAAAAGCCGTTGCTCTCTCAACCTTTCCTCGTAAGACCTTCCCTCCATTCCAGGCAACATCCTGGTAAATCTCCTCTGCACCTTTTCTGACTTTGACATTATTTTCTGATCTCCATAGTTGCTACGGCAACACAAAGCCAGAATTATCCAGAAGTGCGTAAGGGGCTGGATAGCCCGAAAGAGGTTCTCCAGGATACGCAATGCGGTCATCTATCTCCAGTGCTGCTATAGGCGCATGAAGGCACGCCGTGAGTTAAAGACATTGAAGATTGAAGCACGGTCAGTAGAACACTACAAGAAGCTCACCAGTGGGATGGAAAATAAAGTGGTTCAGCTTCAAAGAAAGGTAGATGTTCAGGTAAGAAAGAGGTCAGTCTAATTTCAGGTTTGTTGTAAACTTAACTTTCGCACAACAACACATTTTAGGACAGGTGAATAATACTGCCACATGTGCAAGTGAATAATAATCAGCGTCCCTGCTTTACCGAAACTTAAGTCCTATTCTACACGCTGGATTGTCTTCTGCAATCAGTGAGAAATCCAACTCATTCATTTGAATAATGTAAGTAAAATTTTTCACAGATTTCTTTTTTCTCTCCCTTTCTTAGTTTTCTGTAAGGCAGATGATCCAATAATCTTTGTGCACCTTGACCCAATGACTGTGGTCTGAAGAGTTAGTGCCCAATGTATATGATAACTTCAGATTTCACCTCTACACAATGTTATGTAATCAACAAACATCACGATATAGTTCTCAGTATTTTCAATCTCTTCGTTAGAAGAAGAGTATTTTCCCCATCTTCCCATGCTCCACTCAAATGAAAGGATTCATAATAGAACAGTTATTACTCTATTTTTATGGTGGCTACACTTGGTTTCCTTGTCTACTTTAAACTTTCCTTGGGAGTTTTTCAGTTCTCTGAATATAAGCCTTGCTGGCCACTCTAGTATTCTTTTGTTCATCCTTCGGCCATGATAACAAAATAGCACTGGTGAGTGAACTAACGTCACAGAGAGAGCTGAAGAGACCTAAGAGTACCATATTAGAGAATTCCTGAAAGTGGCCCCTAGCAAAACGCCATTTAGAATAGTAGCCTTGAATCTGAACTCCATGATAGAAAAGTAGTGATAGAAAACTCAAAACTTTGTAATAATATTTTGAAAAGTTTTGTAACCTACTTGGGAACCATTTTGATATAAAAATCCTAAAGCAAGTCAAGCAGAATGTCTTTTGTTTGTGTGAAATCCAGTGCAGTGAATGCTGCTTTATCTAATGGCTTGACCCTACCTGATTGTTTCCATAGAATAAGGAGCACAAGGCAATGACTGAGCAGATGATGACAGTGACCACCGCACAAGCTACTGAAATCAACAGACTGAACAAGGAGTTGGACCGATGGCGTGAACAGCAAGGTGACAAGAGCCGAGAAACTAGTTTACAAGAGGAAATTGAGAAACTCCGTGAGGAGCTTGGGAAATCCCAGACTGAACGCAAAATCCTGGAAGACACTTACACCAGAGAAAAAGCAGAACTTCAGCAGGTAACCAAAACTGGAAGCAATTTAAACGAGTTTATAACTGAAAATTAATTTATTGATCAATTCCAGGTACGTCATTTCAAAGAATAATATTGGCTTAGATTTTTGCATGTGCACACATCAACTATCTGCATCCGTAAGGAGAACTTACTAAATTAATAATCAGAATTAAAACACAGGAAAGATGTTATGCAGCAGACCACATCTCTACTGGTGCTAGTTTGTCCTCCAGAGCTGTCTACATTTCACTTCACTGCTTTTTTCTGTATTGCTATTCATGATTTTTCATTAAAAATGTTCAGAGAATTCCTCTAAACATGCATTTCTAATTCCTGCCTCAGTAACCACTTGACATGAAACATTCTATGTTTTGTAATCTTGTCAGAATTTATTAGAACTTTTCTAACCTTACCCTCTATTTCTATAATAATATTTCTGATTCTGCAACTGCTGGAACTGGTCTTTGCCAATGTACTTTCTCTAATCTTTTCATTATACCATGAATCTTTCCTTCCCTTGTCTGGTTTAAGGGGGGGAAAAAATGAAGCCTTTTACCACGACTACATCATCTTGTTTTTGTAATGAGTCTCCACTGTATGACTCTAATAGCCCTCCTGAAAAGGGATGCTGTGAACTACACTAAAACTGAGATTTAAACAAACTTCCTTTCATTACATAGAATACCCCATGTATGAAACTCATCACCTTGTTTGTTGTTTTAATAGTCTTTCCGTACTGCAGGGTCAACCAAGTTGAAACTCCAAATGAAGACCCTAGCTGTTATAAAGTTGTATTGGAATCTCATGACTAATTCTATGTTCATATTTAAAGTATCTTTTACTCTACCAGGAAAGGTTATTTCTCAGTTGGAAGGTAAGATTATTGTAGGCTGTAAAATATGTCTAATGACATATAAAGTCATTTTCCCTCTGGAAAATAAATCTCATGACTTCAACATTTGATTTCACTTCAGTAACTTCTAAATCCACCAGTACGACAGGCTGCACTTTCGTGTACTTCATTTCGTTCATTCACAAATAAGTGATAAGCATAGAACTGTGTCAGCATTTGTAATGTTGTTAGTTATTTTTAGCCAGTTTCTACATCAGAATGTATGAGGACGCATTTTTAAAATTTAAGGCAAAAATTAAAATTGACGCATGATTGGGGAATTGTAGAGGATAAACTGAAAGCTATATTTAATCATAGAATCCATACAGTGTGGAAACAGGCCATTCGGCCCAACAAGTCTACACCTCCCCTCCGAAGAGCATCCCACCCAGACCCGTTGCCCTATCCCTGCCTTTTCCCATGTCTAACCCACCTAACCTAAACATCCCTGGGCACTATGGGCAATTTAGCATGGCCAATCCATGTACCCTGCCCATTTTAAAAAAAAAAAAAAAAAAAAAAATTACATGGCACAGTTCTTGACCTGGAAGTGGTAGATGAGAAATACTCCATTCTCTAGCCTCGCCTCTGCATGTGAATGAAGAGTAATGATGTCTGAGGTGAGAGGTGCCCGGGGCAATAAACTTTGCCAGAAGTACGTGGAGTGTGTTCGGCATAAACTGTACACAATCATGGTGCTTCTTTCGTCGGTCACTGATTCAGATCATCTCAATTAATGCTTTCTGCGTAACCAGGACCAAAAGGGTATGACTTTGCTTTGCATTCATATTATCTAAGGGAAAGAGATCAATTATAGCATTAAATATTGTGTTTTTATGAACGAAGGAGAAGTTCTAGGTGATTCAAGTATGTGCTGAGTACAATTGTGTCTATAAAATATAACAACTGAGTCAAACGACTGCTTTTTATACCCTGCTTGTTGGTGGGTTGAGTGTTGGGGGTGTTTGGGAGGGGAGGTATGTGCAATTGAATAGATGGTTTATCTGCCAGTCCTGACCCCTCAATTTATTTGGGGGTGAGGGAGAAGCCAAGTGGCCCAGGTGTCCTTGGGCCTGTCGTACCTTGTTTACTCCAGTTGGTGTGTTATCCATGGTGTGGCGTGTGGGAAGCAACAGTTTTAGCCCCATGGCCTGGATTTAGGTAAAGAGCAAGTGACTTCTTTATGATTACCCTGCACCCACTCAAGAAATCGCCACCTCAACAAATCTAGCCCATAGCAACTGAATCGCAGTGGCAGCCTCCAGAGATGATCCATCCTGATGGGCATAGAAGCTGGAGTAGACCATTCAGCCCATCAAGCCTGCTCCACCATTCAATGACATCATGGTTGATCTGTGACCTGACTCCTTTTACCTGCCTTTGTCCATATCCCATAATATTTTTGGTTTGTAAACATCTATTAATCTTAGTTTTAAAATTAATTGATCTAGAATTAAAAAGCTTTTGCAGAATAGAGTTCTCAAATGGTACCACCCTTTGAGTTTATACGTGTTTCGTAACTTCACTGCTAAAAGATCAGCCTATTTAGCTCTGCCCCAGTGTTGGACTCCCTAACCAGGAAAAATTACTTTTGTTTATACTACCCCCTGCTCTCAAACTTAAACATTTTTTTAAGTTGTTCATGGGATGTTGATGTCTGGGTGTCACTGGCTAGGCCACCATATATACATCAAGATGGTAGTGGTGAGTTGCCACCTTGAACTGCTTGAGTTCATGCAGTAGTGAAACACCTATAATGCTTTTAGGAAGAGAGTTCCAAAATTTTGACCCCGCAAAACTAAAGGAACAGCTCTGTATCTTCTGGTCAGGATGGTGTATGGCTTAGAGGGAAATTTGCAGGTGGTGGTGTTTCCTTGTACCAGCTGTCCTGTTTAGGGATCCATTCATAAAATGTGTAATGGCTCCTTGTAATATATCTTTTGGTGTCCAATTGTATTTCTAATGAATCTACGCTGCACTTCCTGTAAGGCTAATGTATCTTTCCTGAAGTCTGGTGGCCTGAACTGGTCAGAGGACTCCATATGTGACCTAACCAGAGACATGTACAGCTATAGCATAACTTTTACCCTCTCATATTCTCATCCTCTAGATATAAAGACTTGAATTTTAATGTCATAGAGATGTACAACACAGAAGCAGATTCTTCTGGTCCATGCTGACCAGATATTCTAATGTAATTTTGTCTCATTTGCCAGCATTTGGCCCAAATCTCTTTAAACCCTTCCTATTCATATCCAGAAGCCATTTAAATGTTGTAATTGTGCCAGCCTCCACCACCACCTCTGGCAGCTCACTCCATACATGTACCACCCTCTGCGTGAAAAAGTTACTCTTTAGGTCCCTTTGAAATTTTTCTCCTCTCACCTTAAACCTGTGTTCTCTAGTTTCGGACTCTCCTACACTAGGGAAAAGACCTTGGCTATTCACCCTATCCATGCCTGTTGTGATTTTACAACTCTGTCTCTAAGGTCACCTCTCTGCCTCCAATGCCCCAGGGAAAATAGCCCCAGCCTATTCAGCCTCTCCCTATAGGTCAAACCCTCGAACATGGAAACCTCCTTGTAAATCTTTTCTGAACCCTTTCAAGTTTCACAACCTCCTTCGTATGGCAGGGAGACCAGAATTGTACACCGTATTCCAAAAGTGGGCTAACCAATGTCCTGCACAGCCACAACATGACCTCCCAACTCCTGTACTCAATGGCCTGTCCAATAAAGGCAAGCATACCAAATACCACTCTCACTACCCCATCTACCTGCAACTCCACTGTCAAGGAACTATGAGCCTGCACCCCAAGGTTTCTTTGTTCAGCAACACACCCCAGGACCTTGCTGTCAAGTGTATAAGTCCTGATTTGCCTTTCCAAAATGCAGCACCTCAGTTATCTGAATTAAAAAGTTGATAGCAGATGGAGTTTTTGATTATTTTCTGCACTTATCCAAGACATTACCTGGATGTATAGTGCTTTTGCCGTAGTCTTTCTGATCCCCTTACTGTATTAATATTTGTTCATAATTTTATAGTTCCATCGACATTGTTTACAATGCTTACTTGCTTTGGATATATGACTTTCTATCCCATCATCTTTTGTAAAATATAATGAATAGAAGGCCCCAGAACAGAACCTTGCAGGGCATTACCAGTCACATTCTGCCAGTTATCCTTACAGTCTGGGCTGAATCTTACATTATTTTGGCTAAATGCAAATTGCATTGAGTTTTCTAGGCAGTGTGTTGCTGCCAGGCCCAGTGAGTCCTCTCGGCTACCTTACCAAACGCCCTCATTAATTAGCTCCTACACTCCTGCGGTGTCTCTGTCCGATTATCATCCTCTTACCATGCCACTCGGCAGATATGGAGGAATTCACCAGCAACTCTTGCATCCACATCATGTTTAAAAGCCTGTCATGCACCCAGACAAGTACTTTCAGTCCAGAGCTGCCCTGCATGGTTCCTGGCATTTGCCCCAGACAAAGCAGAAAGGGGGAAATCTGTGCCCTGCTTTATGGGCAGGGACCTGAAAGTCCTGCTAGTGATTCTGCTTCCATGCATTTTAAACTCAAGCTAGTCATGTTTCATTTAAGGTCGTGCAGAAGTGGTACTCCCCCCCTCTTTTGTCTTTTTCCCCTCTCTTTCATTGTCTTTGTGATGCTAGCTAAGTCTATGCTGCTGCAGTGAGTGGCTCAGTTCCACATTCTGTAGTGTGCTTGCACCAGCCAAGCCATTCAGCAAGTATTCCTGATGTTTTATTCAGATCAAGACAACAGATTTTTAAGTTGGAGATAGTAGGAACTGCAGATGCTGGAGAATCCGAGACAACAAGATGCAGGGCTGGATGAATACAGCAGGCCAAGCAGCATCATACGAGCAGAAAGGCTGATGTTTCGGGCCTAGACCCTTCATCAGAAAAGGGGGAGGGGAAGGGGGTTCTGAAATAAATAGGGAGAGAGTGGGAGGCGGATAGAAGATGGATAGAGGAGAGGACAGGTGAAGAGGAAACAGGTCGAAGAGGTGGGGATGGAGCCAGTAAAGGTGAGTGTAGGTGGGAAGTTAGGGAGAGGATAGGCCAGTCCAGGGAGGACGGACAGGTCA